ATCTAATTTTCAAATGTAAGCACTTACGCTTCACCTGAAAAATATGCAGGCAGTCTTAAATGGACACTTACGTTCAGGCTTATGCTTTTATGTAAATATGGTTTGCGTGCCCAATTTCCCATTAACACAAGGTCACAAATTAAGTTTCTTACGTATTTACATAACATCTGAACATGAATTGCATACAACTGCTGATTGCATGAATGCGCCTATTCAGGATTCGTATGGGCTTTGTGTCTGTATGCGAGTGTCAATATATTCACAGAGATGGGTCGAAGCATCAGATGGTGGTACAGGAATTTTCTATATTTCTAAATATCGATAGGTTTTAAGAGGGAATTTTGTCTAGCTTCTTGATTGTTTTTTCCAAACAAAATTTTCTTTAAACTTTTTCCCCTTTTCAGTACTGTTTTTTAAATTGTAGTTCTAACTGTACTTTGACAGTCGTCTTCACAAAATGTTTTGCCAAAGAGCCAAAGACAGCATAGAAAGGCATGCGTAGTAGTGATGCTATTGATCTTTAGAGAGATTAAGCTTGCTAATGCTGCTGTGAAATAGGTAAAATAGTACATTAATTTTAGAGATGGGCAAATGCTTTAATTTGTTTTCCCCTCTCAATTTTTCCAAGTAATGCTGTGAGTCAATAAGTACTGTTATCCATGACTCTGGAGCCTATTAAATAAATATATTTCATGTGCATGTGTGCAAGATCATTATATACGTATAACCAGCTCATCTGTAAGTGGCAACTAGATTGGAAGATTATGCTATTGCACATGCATTAAAATAGGCTGCTGCGTTGTCCAAAGTTGCTGTGAATGATACAGTGATCGAGGGTCCACGTGGATGCCTCGCCGTCGTGTGTGCAAGGGCCTGAATATCACCCCCGTGGGATTCCTCCTGCCTGCTCCCTGTTCCCCCACAGCAGCAGTCCTGGAGCCTGACCCACGGCATCGCCCCAGACACCTCTGTGTCAGCAAAAGCTTGAGGGGAATGAGGAGAAGCCTGGGTCTCTTCTCCTCCTTCTCCTCCTCCTCCTCTTGGATGCTCTCAGTGGAGTGTGACTGGGGAGGGTCTGTCTTGGGCGAACTCTACAGGAGAGACGTGTCAGCACGTTTTCTTTGGATCAGGAAAGGTTTGATTATTCACTAATCAAGCTGGAGTTCTCTCAAAAGCTTTTAGTTGAATGTGAATGTCTTTCAGCAGTATTATTAGGCAGACTTTGGCGTGGGCATTCTCAATAAGGCAGAGAAGAGGGACAAGGCAGAACTACCAGTTCTTGGTTTTCCTTTAGGAGGTGTCCTATGTGGTGACATACTGGGTATTTTAGAGTTGAAATTTGAAGAGAACTCATTTGGCACTTGTAGTATTTTTCCAGAGTCTGATTTTAATCAGTCGAATAACTGAAACCAACTCCTCCCAAGAATCCATCATAAAACCTAGTTTCTTACTCAATATGTTTGCTTTCTGAGCAAGCTCCTTGGCCAATTTTCCAATGGAAGACTGCCTTTTTTTCCCATGGGAGCGATTCCCTTAGCATAAGTGAACGCCCGAGTGAAATGAGGCTTATGTACCAGTGTCTGTCATCAGCCTGCACTTACTGCATGGGGTGGTTTAAGGATGAAGGAAACCAGCAGAGACCCCGCAGCCACTTTTGACCACGGCGTGAGAATTCCCCAGCGTTGGGTTACCCAAGACGGATGCTCCTGTGATGCACGCTGGCCTGCGTGATGCCACGAGGCTGTAGTGGGAGGAACTGCCTGGACATGAGGTGATGGGGCAAATCCAGTGACAACTTGGCATCACAGCCTTCCTCCTGCTCCAGAATGGGATCCTGGTCTGTGCTGCCGCAGTGAGATACGGGCAGCCCGGCAAAGGAGCGTGCATCAGATCAGTGACCCTCACACCACATGCCTGAGTTTTGGTAGACCAAATGTGAGCATGGAAATGCATAATGGTCCCTAGAAGACCATAAACTGGTAGAAATCAGAATACCCCTTAAACTGCCGTGATTTAAACCTAGAGTCAGCCTTTTCTTCTTAAAATCCTGAGTCACAGAAGCAGAAATACTGCGCCAGTGACTGAAATCTCTCTACCTTTTCTTCAAATATTCTCTATTTCCCAATGAGGAGTTGCTTATACTTCTCATAGACCTTATAAACATGACATATTTACGTGAGAGTGAGTTGAATTCTCCTCTACCTCATGTCTCACCAAGAAAGCAAGGTCCTAATTTCTTATTGCAATGTCCTTGTAATGCCAAATAGTATTTCAAGGGGCAGAAATAAAGCTGAATCATCAGATCACAGTTTGGGTTTCTGATCTCAGTTGGAGTTTTAGGGGCGGGCACTTGGTAAGTTCCAGAAGAATTCTACAGTTCCTTGATCAATAAGGAAACACTGGAGAGAAGCAGAAAATGTGATACTTTCAGGATGTCTAAAAGTAATGTAGTTCAACTGCTTATGAAGAACAGCCATCATTGACTTGATGCCCTGCCCTGAGGTCATTAGGACTATTACAGACACTAATCAAACTGCCTCCAGGAGCTTCCTTTTAAAGAGGCAGAAAGAAAGAAACAAAACTGTGTTTTCATCCACCAGGAACAGAACAACTTTTTTGAAGGTCTCAGTCACGTAACGTCACCCTTCCCTTTTGGTAAAGCCTCGTTTTTTTAAAGGTACTTTTCCGATCCATCAGTTGGACGTGAAGGCAGCCCACGGCTGGTATCGGGGCTGGCACCGCAGGGCTATCGCTGCTGCAGGGGAGCGACGTGGGAGAGATGCGATGCTGAGTTCAACCATGGAGGAGGGCTTTGCGCTCCCAGCCTTCGCCTTCCCTTCCCATAAGAGGCACGAAGGGCTGGTGGCCGCCGCTCCGTGACCAGCTCATGGTGTGTAGCGTTCATTTGAATTGGAGACGTGTAAATGAGTCTTCACTCTTGATTAGCGAGAAAAGCGCTCGTTGCATTCGGTCAAGCTGTGTCCTCATTTATGTCTGTGGGCCCCGCAGGAGCGAACGTGGGTAGCCCGGCCTCATAGGGTCACGCTGGTCTTTTGTCACCTCGAGAGCGTGTATTGTGTAAATCTGGTGCTTACCGTCTGACTGTATTTTATTCAGGCATCAGTCAAGATAGATTTGTTTAACCGAACCCAGTCAGGCTTTTACTACGGAGGGACAATGTCTACGAAGTACGGCGTTTGTAGTCGGCGTCAAGATAGTTTACGGTACAGATTGTGTTTTGCTGCCTTTCTGCAAAAGAGCACCGCTAGCTGCAAAACCAAAGGGCACAGCACCGTATGGCTCCTCTCGCAGTACGGCTCCTGAAAACAGTCGCAAATTTTGTAGATCTCATTGTCGATGGATGGCAATGCTGTACCCTGCCTCTATTCCTGATGTATTAGTAACGCCAAGGCTGGTAATGCTGGAGCGTAAATGTGCTCTGTGCACGCTCCGTAACCTAAAATCTGTTGATGGTTTTGAAAAGCCGGATAAAGTGACTTAGTCAATTTAATTTAAATTGAAGGCAGATCTTTAGTGTGAGATTGGCTCATTTTCCTTCTTCCAGTTATTTAGGATCTCCATACCATATTGGTCCAACAAAGGTCTTAAAAATCAAGAGTTGAATGGTAGGATTTTTTGCTGATAGAACTCCCATAAAATTCATCCCCACCAGCAAATTTTTCTTATGAGGGTTGGAGCAGTGCTTGCAACACGTATTTTAGGGTTAAGGATTTGGCCAGAGGGCAGAGTGATCATAGAATACAAAGGCTGCATAGTTTTCAATTACACAAAACGTGTAAAGCTAAACTTCATGCAGAGACATTTGTTGCAAGCACACATATTTTTGGCTCCTATATGGATGACTAGAAGCGTGTATTTAGCCACGTGCGTTATTAAATGCAACTCGGTTAATGGCATTTTCCTCCCTTCCAGAGGTCTCCCACACCACGTTGTTTCCTAGTGGCATTTAGTTCTCTCTTTCCATCCCACCAAACACCCTCGAACAAGCGTGTATAAAGATACCTCCACCAGCAAACGTCGATCTGGTGCAAGGGAACGCAGATAAAGCTTCCTTAGGGTTGGATCACGGTGCTGCCTGTGAAGTGTGGTTTTGGTAGCCAAACAAAAAATCCTTGTTCATCGTATTTGGATGTTTATTGTGGAACTTATTAGCAGAAGTTTACATAGCTTCAGCCGCTTTCTTACAGGTTTTAACAGGACTTTCCAGCTTTCCCTGAGCTCTTAGCTGATGTGCAGTAGAAATCAAGAGAAATAATGTGCATCTTTGTTGTTTGCTGCTTTTGGCCAAACCTAAAATATCTTCAGTTAATTCCAGTCACACCTAGGAGATAATAAGTTTTAATTTTGGTTCTGTTGCCAGAATTGCAGTGGTGTGCTACCCCTGCTTAACACAGTGCCTAAGCTAAATGGGAATGTAGAAAATTCAGCCTTTTCTCAGTAAAGCCAAGAAATACTTCATTCCTGTTGACATAATTTCAAACTGATTGAATGTACTCTTTTCTTATAAATGCTTCCTAATTTTGTGTCTAACCCTGTTGCATTTCAGTCAAAGGATCCCTTGGATAATTGCAATAAATTAAAAATCTGACAAGCTACAAGCATTCTCAGTCACTCGAAACCCTGAGTGCTTTTTCCACAGGTCAAAATTTGCTAAGATGAAAATGAAAGAGAAAGGTCTGCTGGAAGCAGCAGTTCTCTGTAAGGGCTGTTTACCTGCATAGCTTGAATTTAGTTGGCGAGGACAGGGATCACGAGAATAAGAATCACCTGTCACTGCACATCTGCAGCAAGATTGTCTTCACTTTTGAGAAAGGCTTGCCTTAGGGTGGGGAGTCAAATGGGAAAATGTGGGCTGGGCAGTAAAAAAATAACAAAAATGCAATCTTAATTTTTGGGAGGAGGCAAAAGGAGAGGGGCCGCAGTCATTCTTTAAGACAGACTCTTTTGCTCAGCGCGTGTCTCCTGCTCTCTGCCCGCAGCCCCCTGCTCGCCGTCTGTTTTGCCGCCTCCTGCGGAGTCCCGGGAATCGCGCTGCTGACGCTGGGAGTCAACCCCCTCACCGGGGCCCTGGGAGCCTTCAACATTTTCTTATACACGTGTTGTTACACACCCATGAAGAGAATGAGCATTGCCAACACGTGGGTGGGAGCTGTCGTCGGTGCCATTCCCCCCGTCATGGGCTGGACTGCGGCTACTGGTAGTCTTGATGCTGGTGAGTATAAAACCCTCGCATCTGGGTGAGTGGTTGTCAGCGTTGCCTTTGGGATAGCTAAAAAGACCCACTCAAAAGGCAGCAAACCTCGTTCTTTATGCTTGTTGACCTGATACTCCTTCAAAAGCGGATATATTCTGCAGTTTGCGATGCCAAAGTCTGTTACAGTGTGGTACCATAAGGACCGAAGAAGTAGACATGATTGTATCATCTTCCTTACGGGGGGATTTCAGCGGCAAATGTGAGCTGATAAAAGACCGTGTCCTATTGAATATGTGTTTAGGCCGTCTTAAAAAAAAATCTAGAAGGAAGATAGTGTCTTCGGAGTTCACATGGAAGAAAATATTATGTAATTTCAGGATTAAAACCATACCCAGTAAGATCCAACTTACAAGTCAGGAGCTTTCAGCTGGAAAATTTCCAGATGTGTTTATTACTGTCTTTCCACAAGCCAGAAAATGTCCTAGGAAGATTAATTTATTGTTGTATTTTTTAATTGCCCACTTCTAAACTCTAAGTTATAAATGTTCCTTCCCCTCCTCCTTGAAAAGCAAACGAAGATTTCTATTTTAGTAACTGTGAACCGTTTTTACATCCCTCGTAAAACACTGATCTCTTCAGCAGCTAAACTCTGACACAATTAGGGCTTGTTTTTCTTGCCAGCTAGAAACTTAAGAATCAAAGTGGCTCCACATAGTTATAGTCTGAAGAAACTCATGAAGTTCAATTAACAGGTCTGCTAAGAATTTTTTTAGCACACACTCATCCCACAGTGTGGCATATTTAAGGCTTGAATAATACTTTCAACAACAAGGCTTTTAAACAGAAGTTATCAGAATCTGTGCAAAATCCATAGCACGCCTTCATTTATGCTGCGCACTTCCTATAAAACTCAGTCTGAATTGGCTTTGTGTGTGCACGTTCTGGTACAGATCTAATCCAGAGCCAGGAGAGGAAGGGTTTGTGGTTTGTTTTTTTTTTTTTTTTTTGTAAACGTGTGTGCCACTTCTATACAAACATTTACTTCTCTGGAAGGTTTTTTTTATGTTTAGGCCTATAAATGATATGTATATATACGTATAGTGTCTCACGTTAAGGAGTGCGTAACAGACATCATTTAAAGCTCTGTATTTCTAAAGGGAAGAGAATGAACTAAAAACGCAAAATGTGTACTTTTAAGGACTGTATCATTCTGGCTGCAGTTGCTTAGACCTCAGATCTTAAGCTGTTTAGAGATTTCTGCGTTGGTTTTGGCGTCTCTTTGCAGAGTTGATGCTAGAAGATGACTCTCAGTGCCCAGGCTTCACCTGCAAAGTCCAGTCCGGAGGAGCTGGAGTGAAGAGCTCTGGCTCACCAAAAGCCCTTGCTGTAGAGGCTGTCACAGTTCAAATTTTCACCCCTGGTTTTCAAATGGCAGCTAAACTGCTGCACTTAAAGCCCAGCAAAGTAAACTGGCACCGAGTTCCATTATCTTTAATTTGTCAAGTTACGACTTGCTCTTTGAGACCTGTTTCGCAAAAAGCTAAGCTGTCACTGTACGGCAGGCAGGGCAGGCAGGGAGGCAGGGCAGGCAGGCAGGCAGGGCAGGCAGGGAGGCAGGGCAGGCAGGGCAGGCAGACAGGGCAGGCAGCAGAGCGCACCACCTTTGTCCCAAGTAAGCTCTTCCTCTCTTATTTGCCACTGAGATGCGGTTACAAGGCCCGCTGCCAGCTCTGCTGTGGAGGAGATAGTCTCTGGCAATGATGCCATCAGTGGATGATGGCATTTGGTCTACCAAAACCATCTGAGCAGACTTTGCCAGAACATGATGATCTGCGCCGGTGCGCAACCCCATGTTGTACTGTTTGTTCTGGGTAGCTAAAACTTTCTACAGTCACCTCCCGGTCTGTGTCAGTGAGGGCAGGCAGCTTGTTTCATAGAGAAAGAAATGTTATTGAGCTGATGCTGGTCTTTGTAGTGAAGTACACCTGGGGAGAGTCCTGAAAACGGTGACCTGAATGTCATATTTTAGTGCATTTCAGGATTTAAAAAAAAAAAAAAAGCTTTGAAAAGAGAAGCTATAAATAGAAGAAAAGGACTGCATTGTAAACTACGATTTCCAGTGTTAAGTGTTCTGCTGTTGGAAGGGAGAAGAGAGTTCAGCATCTGGCGGCATCAGACCGGTGCGGCGTGCAGGCGTGCATCCGCCTGCATACATGCAGGACGTGCAGACCTGCATCCCTTCTCTAACCGGCCTACCCACAGTTGTTGAACTCATTAATAATGTGTAATTAGCTTGGAGACTTAACCTAGTTTTAGGCAGAGGTGTGAAAATGCATTTACACCTCGTTTTAAAAAAAAAAAAAAAAATCATTCCACTCAATAACAAAGAGGAATGTGAAGGAAGGGAGTTAGAAAACTAATGAGAAGGAAGGTTCTCACTGCTTAACTGGTGGTTTTTTGAGTTTACGTTTTCCTGTGAATTTTCTCTCCTTGTAATCTTCTCACAGCAGGCGCATTGTTGTACCTACGCCGCACGGTGGGGCACCCCGGGACAGCCGTGTCTGCCCTCTTCTGTAACGGCAGCGGCTCAGTAACGTCACCGGCGCGGTGCAGAGCTCGTGCTGCGAGGGGCTTTTGGTCGTTTGAGAGAGTTGGAGCTGATTCCTAGTTCCCAATTCCAGAGACAGTAACAAAGCGTCTCAGATTGGAGCAGCCTTGTTTACTTTCGTCCTTATTTGGTTTATAACTTTCTTATTTCAAAGATTAAGACCTTGACAGTTTCTTGCACAAGAAACAAATATCCCATATTGCAGATAAAAATCTGGGACCCTTATATTTCCAGTGATGCTGGTATTTCTTACACAACACATCTTTTGCAGGTCCTGCCCTGATTCCCAGTGATGCTTGCTTCCATTTCTGCCCCTGCTAGGTAACTTTAACTATATGCTCTGGAGCCTGATTGAACCTCCTGCCCCCAACCCTGCATTTTGTGCCAACATAATTTAGGGAAAACCTCACATTTCAAAAGCGAAAGATAAGGTTATCTCTGGGAAGATGTGGAATTCTTTGTTGTGGGTTTGGGGGTTTTTGTGTTTTTTTAATGGCAGCTGTTTGCAACTGATGAAAGATCGGGAATGTTCACGTTTCCTCGCTGGGGGAGCCCAGCGCAGGTGAGATGGTCAAAGGTGCCTGATAAACGTAATTTATCACGTGGATATCACTTCCATGTATCTGGTGTATTTATGCAGAACTTAACTGCCAGCCTGTGATTTGCAGTAACACGTTTGCTTCCTTGAAAGCAGATTTCATTGCTCCTTTGTGGTAGTATTTATTTCCAAAGAGATTTGTTTTTCTAGTAAATCTAGATGCCCTCACATCATTTCTCCTGATTTTACAAAGGAAGGACTAGCAGGAAAAATAATGAAATTCACTCCAAGCCGTAAGTGATAGCACGGAGGCAGGAAGAAGAGGCAAAGCTCGGCAGTGCCCGGTTCCGTGCTGGATCCTCCTGCGCAGGGTCCGCACGCAGGAGAGCTGCGGGCTGGGCCGCGCCGCTGCTGAGCCTCTGTACGGATGTCTTTAGGAAGTAACGGAGCCGTTTATTTTGGCGTGCCAGCGGCACAGCGTATACATGCTTTAAATTACTCATGTGTTGCTGGTCTTTCTCCCCAGACGAATGCTGCAGCTTGCTTGTTAGAAATGTTTGCTGTCCATTTAAACTTGTTATTTCTAGTTAGCAGAAAAACTGAATCCAGGGTAAGCGTTTCCAAGCGCCACAGCCCGTATTTTGCCTTATACATTTTGCGCTTCTTCCACCGACCTTCCTGTGCCTGTGCGCTGAAGGCTGGATCCCAGCCGGCGAGCGGCACCGGCCTCTCAGCGCGGAGCAATTCAGTGCCGCGGCGTTGGTATAAACCACCCAGTTAGATGGAAGTGACAAGCAGGGGTCCTCAACATAATGTGCTTATCAGTTAAGGGGATTTATTCTGAGTAGGTGGCAGTGGCGTAGCAGATAACAGCCCTGCCAGTATAGCAGACATTACAGACCCATGGTGGCCTGGAGCCATAGGTATTACTGCACCAAAGAATGTTTATCTCAAGAGACTATTTAGTTTATCTCAGATGCTCCACTTCTGGTCTCGCTTTCCTGAAAGACATCTTGTACTGATTTTCATTCATTTTCTGAAATTTAAATAATTCCTGGGGCCATGGAATTTATAGACTGAGTATCAATTGTAATCATGCGGAGGCTGATTTTTAAATTGCCTTTACTTTGTAATTCAAATTGTGTTGTATGGTAGACATTAATTATGTCAGCCAACATCTATTTACAAATGGGGATTTAAAAACGGGCAGTTCTTATCAGCTAGTGACATTTGGCAGATGGATGGTTTCAGTAACAAAAAGAAGAGAATAGGGGAGAGGGGGGGCTGCGCCCAACCTGTCAATGCCTGGAGTCTCTCATACCTTCCCTGGTGTAGCACTTGTCTGCCAGGAGGAGGGAGAGCAAAGCAACAGCTTAATTGCATGCAAAATAAGCTTGGAGATCTTTGTGTCCCTTCCAGTTAAGCACTTTGAGCTTTCAAAGCCCCTTGATGTGCGAGCAGGTCTGGAAGGCAGCCGCGCGGGAGCTCCGCGGTCCTGCCGCAGGACCAGAGGAGACGCCGGCTATAAACTCCCTCTAGTAAACTCAGCTTTTCGGGGTTTCACTTCTCGGATGAAAGACAGCAGAATCTGTGGTCTGTTCCAGAGGAAACGGAGATATTCATGCCACTGACATATGAGAATTGGAAGCTGGGGGCCCAGGAGTGTCCTTTGTGGGGGTAAAAGCTGAGACAGAGGGACAATATTAGGAGCAGCTGGTCTGAATTTAGGACAAAAGCCAATGGGCTATTTCTTTTCCCCCTTTCCATCTTCACAAGAGACAAAAGAAATGGCAGTTCCACCGCTGGGGCACCTGGGGGACCAACCCCACAAACTCACAGGCAGCGTGCCCTTACCTGGTTCTCTGCCCCACA